GCACGTGATTTTTTAAAAAGGGGGTGAGTATTCTCGAAACAAACGTCGTGAGAGCGTGCGAGAGGGTGCGATCACTTTTTGTGACGTTGGACTGTAAGAGGATGCACAGTGGTGCCCATAACCATTATTTGGAACTTTCAGTACCCCAGCCAAAGCCAGATTTGCCTTCCCTCTACTTTGTCAAATTGTCCTACACTAGTGTTCTAGGACAGTATCTTTTAGGAGCCTGCTTCTGTCCAGAATCTGTGTTACCTTTGTGCCATGCATGCATGCATGCAACAGTTGCATGGTTTTGCCAATGTACATCACTGGTTTGCACCATGGTGATGAAAATTGATGAATGCAATGAGGCTAGTAGAATTGCCATGTAGTTAATAATAGAAACTAGCCAAGATGCCACAATAATGGTAACCAATGCCGTTGGACAATACAATAGTAACCTGGAGGCCTCAATGGTGACCCCACAATAAAGGGTAAAGAAAGGAATCAGTCTGTTTGGCAAGGTAGGGGTAAAGACAGCACTTGATAGAGAAGTAATATCAACACTTGACCCAAAGAAAATGACCAAAGATATGGTGCAACAATCCTTGTCTTATCTAATGTTTGTAAAGCAGAAGCATGACACATTCATTAAAGAAGGGGGCAGTGGAAAGGAGTGCCAATGTGATTTCATCCATGAAGAGGATGCAACCTTGCCAATAGTGTCCCAATACACACTAATGTCATCATGTATCATTATGGATGCAATTGAAGGAAGGGATGTGGCGGATATCCCCAGAGCCTAGTACTTGCAGAAAGATATGCCAGAAGGAGAGAATGTGTACATAGGACTGGATGGGCCTAGTAGTAGGGCAGAGCTCCTGTGTGGGGTAGACCCAAAGATGTACAGGAAGTACCTCCTGAACTATTTGCAAAAGCTGAAAAGGCCATCTATGGTACCCTTTGAATGGTTATTGTATTCTGAGAAAAGCTATCTAGACAGCTTGAGGAGTGGTGCTTTGAAATGAACATCAATTGCAAACAAAGTGACTAATGGATCCTAGCGCACAACTTTATGGCATATTGATGACCTCAAGATCTCCCACAAAGATCCGGAAGTGATGACAACTATTATCAATTAACTAAACAAACAATTTGGTGTTGAATCAACACTAACTGCTGAAGTTTGGGGCAAGATACACAACTTTGTTGTGGGGGTGATGATTGACTACTCCACCACTGGGCATGCTGTTCTGAGCATGTTTGACTATTTAGAAGACATCCTCCAAGGCCTTCCACCAAGCCTAGCACAAGGAAGCGCAGTCACAGCATAAGGGGGAGATAATGCATTCAAAGTCAACTACAGCACCAAAAAGCTGAATGAACAGGACACTGGGATATTTTACCACAATATTGCCGCAAAGCTCCTATTATACATGGCAAAATGGACCCAACTGGTTATTCAAACAGCCATTGCTTTCCTGTGTACACTACAGTACAAGGAGTGACTGATGCTGATTGTGCTGATTGTATCCGCTACTAGTACACCAACAACAAGTAAGCACTCACACACCAAGATGGCTCAAGCCAATTGATCAGTTAGTCAAGTGAGGAGCACTACTACAGTAGCAAACAGACTAATTAGTTTTAGCAGTACTCTCATGCAAGTCACCACGTAGTGAGGAGTGTGTTGGTGAACAGATGTGGATGAAACAATATTTTGGCAAAAGTCGTTTGTGTGTCCCCCATTTATGCTGGCCATATCATGTGCACAATTTTTATGATTTAGTACATGGTGATGTAGTAGCAGTAGTATGCTGAAATAAATGACAGCACAAGAAGAACAAGACGCAACTGCCAATCCAATATGAGAATATATTCCCATTCTTTATTTACTGTATTTATCATAGTATATCTAGTACTAGCGTAGCCCAAAGGGTGAAACCAGTCCTGCCAGAGAGCAAAAAGTTTTGATTTGAAGTAATGAACTTTTGCTCGTACATCATGTACAAGGTTCTACTGAGGTGTTGTCGGATTGATTCCCCGAGGTCATTCAATCAATCATGAATTGCCATTTAGTCATTTCCCAAAGCTAGCTCAGTACTGTAGAACATAGTAGAATTTCTTCTACCGGTAGGACATTTGAAGTTCTAGACTTTAAATCGAAATATGATACCCCGCAGTATCATTTCTATTCTTCATGACTTCATACGTATGGTACGAAAGTCTTCTCTTCCCACCAGCAGCGAACAATCTAATCGCACGCAACCCACAACAAGCTCGTCGTTACCAGGCAAACGACATTCGCAAACCAAACAGAAATCGTTCAAGATGATGGACGACAACGTCTACGCAACCAACCACATGGACCACATGGATGACCACGATCACGATCACGACCCGGAAATCGACGAAGATCCACTGGCCGATCCTCCAGAAGCCGAGCTGCACGAAGGGGGCCGCCGGAATTCCTGGCGCTCTAGGATCAGCGAGGTCCAATTTCCCCTGGTCGTTGTCGCGGCGGCCTCCGTCGTCTTGCTGATCGCCGTATGGTCGTGGGAGCCCGAATTAATGGCCCAAGGGTATGTCTTTTCCGTCCCCTCCCTTTCCCTGGCCATTGCCCTGCTCAGTCTTTTGCTGACGGTCTACCGGGAGGACCTCTACGCCATCTACGGCCAGCACCTGGCCCACGTTCTCTTCCTTTGGAATTTCACCGGCGCCTGCTTCCTGACCTTCGTCTCGCCCTTCACGACCACCGGGAACGGATACTTTGCGGCCTGGGGATGCATGGCGACCTCGGCCATGGCCATGGGTCTGACGGCGGACGCCGTCCGGAGCCGCATCAAGGGCCTCGGATCCCTAATGGGACTCTGCGCGTCGGCGATCATTGTCTTGATCGCCCTCTTCGACTTTCTGGGCACCGACGTTCCGGCCTACCTGAAGGGCGAGACCCTGTACGCGGTTGTCGTGTCGTGCTTCACCATCATCCTGTGCATCGGCCTCATGTACTTCCAGAAGCGCCACGAGGGCAGCCAGGCCGACTCAACGGAGGTCCTGGCAAGGTTCTTCTTTCTCTCCCTCTTTGCCCTCTTGTGGTTCGCCCTGGCCTTTCTGGTGACCTTCCGTGGGCCCTTTGTGACGACCGGAAACGGGTACTTTGCCAGCTGGTGCGGCGCCGTCTGCGCGTGCTCGGCCGCCTTTAACGCCAAGAAGGAGGCCGCGACCGCCCGAGCCCAGTTCTTGCACGCGTACGACGCAACGGGGCTATCAGCGACCATTACGTAACGACACCGCTATCCCACCATGCAACCCTGGAGGGCCCGCAAACGACCAGGAAACCCGAACACAAGCATCCGAAGCGTATCGCTTGTTTGGTCGGGAGGGATGAAACAAATACGATGCGAGGGTGATCGATATTCGGCGACTACTTGGACAGGCCCCCGGAAAATCCAAAAATAGTTCCGTTGCGGTTTGATCCGAATGTGGCCAAGACGTCGAGATTGCTCTTCTATTTATACTTCTAACATGTACAACCAAATTTGATAGTTTCTGTTCTTCCTTTGGTGCATCATGCAGTTGTCCGTTACTTGATGATGGCGTTCGTCTCATTCTCACGAAAACCTGCACTGGCCTGCCACCCTAACGAGGCTGCGCACTGATGACATTGTCTAGTTGTATGGAGCAAAAGAAAACTAAAAAAAGTGAAACGCGGTAGCCGTGCAATTTTGGACTGATCATTCCCGGCGGCTGATGGCTTGTCGCATTCCATCCGGTGCGCGCGTGCACCGTGCGAAAAGCCTCTCTCKGGGCAGCGAGCCTATACCTTGTTTTGGATGCGAACGCAATGGCGGTTGGTTTCGTTTGGTCGTTCTTTCGTTTGTGCAGCATTCCAAGAGTGAGAGCAGCAACTGAACACATTCGCATGGATGTGAACTTCCGTAGTAAAATAAAATGCGATATTTGAAGATTGCCTGTGAAATGTTTATCCAATTCCCCCAGTATAGTTTTATATTCAATTATGTTGTTAGTTAATAGTAACGTGTTTTTTTAGGGCTCCCTTGCCCTGGATGTGCAAGGACAAAACCAAGCCAACAACACCGAGCACCAAAACAAACAAAAATCCCGTTTCCATCGATCGTCGACCCCGGCCGCGCAATCCCGCAAAGGATTCCGCTTCTCAAAAAGCGTAGCGTGTAACAAAGCAGAATGAGAGTTGAAGCGAAAACGATGACGGCGAATATCAAAGGTGGGGATTGTCTTTGTTGCACTGGTTTGGTTCGGATCTGTCTTGCGTTTTTATATTTTGGTTTGGTTTGGTTCGGTTTGAGTGTTGGTTCCGCGTTTCGGTGCTGTGCTGTGTTTATGAAACGGTACTTGGCAATGTTTGGCGACCGTTCGTCGTTTCTGTACTTAGATAGTGGTGATGCGCTGCACAAAGAGCATACGCTTGTGGATGTCACAATCGTTTCTTTATTGGTTTTGTTTTTTTCTCCCTTCCGTTCCATCGAACGACATGCTACACCACCGCCGCCAACACTCCTGTCCATAAGCCTTCCCGCTAGCTAGCCTTGCCTGTCCTTGCCTTACCCAGAGCCCCCCGCCCGCCCTAATAGTACTCGGGCGGGCCCACCCCAGCGGCGGCCGCCCAGCGGCGCGCCACCGCCTCGGCTTGGGACGCCGTGGGATGGGCGGCAGTTACCATCGGGTGCGGTTGGTGCGGATGGTGGGGGTGGAGGCCCGGGGCGAGGTACCTCCGCATGTGAGCCGCTGCGGAGGCTGCGTGGTGCGGAGAGTACTCATCGGCCCGCATCCCGGCGGCATAGGTCAGCGTCTTGAAGGCCGCGTTCGATCCCGGGGGGGCGGCTCCCGGCGCTGGGCCGGGCAGTGTCCCGTAGCTCTTGATGTAGTCAAAATGGGAGATACGGGGGGGAATATCCGTTGCGGAAGAGGTGGCGGCGTCGGTGGGGTGGATGCTTCCCGGCATTTGCTGGAGGATCCGGCGCTGGTGGTGGTGGTGGGCATTGGGGTTTCGTTGCTCCTGGAATTCGATACTGCTTTCGGACGAGTTCGGGGAAATGATCTTTCCTCCGCCCTTCGCCGTGCCGGGGGTAGCCGTCTGGTCCGCCTGCGGTTTCGCAGGCGTGGTGGTGGTGGTGCTAGTCACAATTGTGGAAACGGCACCGCCGCTGATACCCGGAGCGTTTGTACCAACACCAGCTTCCTTGTCGGAAGCGATACCGACAGCGGTTGCGTCGATCGCGGAAGGAGCCATCGAGCCGGCTTTCGCGGCGCTAGAATCCTTCCCCTTCAGCGGGGTCTGCTCCACCGAGGGTGTGACGACGGTCCCGGGGACGTCGTCCATCCGGTTGAGCAGGCGGAACTTTTTGGTTCGCTTCTTGGCAAAGATCGTGTTGGGAGAGTCTCCCTCGATAATCTTTTCCTGCTCCATCATCTCGTCGTCGTAGGCACCAATCTCCTCGCCGTAGGGCCCCATGGCTCGGTAGGCGAGGTGGTGGCCGTGAGGAGGTGGCAACGGATGGTGGGGGTGCATCTGGTGGAGCTGGTGCAGTGGGGCTGGGAAAAACCCGTGTGGCACGTGGTGGGGGCCCATCGAGTAGAGGCTCGCGGGCGCCGTCGGAAAGGGCGGATCGTCGGGATGTCGCTTCCTCGTCTTGTACTTCATGTTGCTGAGAGCGTGTGAGGTCTTCTCGAGGGCCCGCTTGTCCGAAATGGAGTACCACAACCCGGTTTTGGGGTCTTGTTCGAGGAACCGTCCGTGCTGGCCCCGGATGATCTGCACAATGTTCCGGCTGATGACAGACCTCGCCCCGTAGGGGGAGATGATATACTGGTCCAGGTTGAGCTTCATGTGGTGCCAGTACACCTTGTTTCCTGGGTGCCTCCTGGCCCCGGGTCCAAAGAGAACGTCGCTCTGCCTGGGATCGTCCACTCGCTCCAGAATGTCCCTGGCGGCAACCTCCGCCTCTTCCATTTCCTTGATGGCCCTCAGCTTGGCACTGAATAGTGAGTTGTGGGATCGCTTCTCCCGGCGCCTCCGGACCTCCCGGCGGAGATCATCCGAGACCTTCTTTCGGACCTTCTCCTCCGTCAGCTTGGCCCAGTTTCCCGTGGCTTCGCTGTGGTGAACGAACCAGCCGTCCTTCTCCTGGATCGACCCGATGATCTTCCCGATAATGTTGGATCGCTCGATAGGTGCCAGATCATTGTAGGTCTCCTTGTTCACATTGATGAGGTGGCGGTAGAGTTTGTTTCCCGGCCAGCGCTCGTGATCGCCCCGTCCCTTTTCGCACACCACATCGTGTTCGTTCAGATCCTTGGATCGATCGTTTCCGTTCACCGTGACGGTGAGGGGCTTTCCATTCTTTCCCGCCGGGGGGGTCCTGGTGGGGTTGTTGTTGTTGTTGTTGTTGTTGTTGACAATGATGCCGCTGCTACCGCTTTTGGCCTTTGTGGAGACGGGAGAGGGAGCCGCCATTGCAGAGGTTGGCAGCTGCACGGTAGACGGTGGACCGTCGTTTTTCCCAGTGCTGTTGCTGCTGCTGGCAATGCTGTTGCCGGTAGTGGTTCCCTCGTCACCGCTCGTGCTGCTGACAATGTTGATGGTAGTTGCGGTTTCGGTCCCCATGCTAATCAATCGGATCTGTAGCGATTTTCTAAATGACTGAGTGACAATTGCGATAAGTTCCGTTTCCTTCGATTCCTTTAAGGCTCTGGTTGCTGCGGGTTGTAACGTGTTGTTTTTGGATCGGGCAGAGGCTGTGATGGAACAAAGCGCGGGAAAGAAAGTGAAGCTGGCTAGAACTATCTGTTGTATCTGTAGCAGGAAGGAAACAATGGAAATGTGCTGAACCTCTCCAATCAATATCGATATCGATATCGATATCAACGGTGGTAGTGCAAGCAAATGAGCTCCGGTGCTATGCGTGACACCGATAGCAGGAATCAGGGAGATAAGGATTGGTCTAATTGTGGGAGTGTGGGAGGGAGAAAATCTCTAAAACCGTGGATGGCGAGATCGTCGGCGCCGGAGTTTGCGATAAACTTCGGCGAGAGGATTGGCGAGGAGAGGAATTCCGCCTTGAATTCCTGGTCTATTATCCCATCTAGCGATCAGTGTGAGGATTCAACCACGCGCGGGGTCGGCGTGGTCGGGGGCAATGCTCCTCCTAAGTAGGACAGAAGGGGCCTGGTTCGAAATCCCTGTAGAAAGACCACCGTAGGATCCACGAGAACCGTTGGGGGCCCGGGGACAGCCCCGATTCATCGCAGAAACGGGACACGTGGGACGGGTCCGACGGACTTGGCGATGCGTACCGCTAGGGCCGCGCCATATCGAACGGTACGCGTATGGGCTACTGTAGCCCATTTTGAAAAAGAAGTATGAGTACGTACCGTATGTACAAATAAAAGTACAGTATCTGCAAAATGACACACATGTATTTTCTACGTTGATTTCCGTGTACTTTTTTGGTATTACAGCACCAACTTCCCCCCCAAACTTGTTTAGAATTGCACGTGAAGTACGTGTGGAGGAACAACAAGAACAAGCACAACAATGCGGATGCGTTGTTAGTGGAGGACGCAGACGCGCTAGTGGAGGACGTGAGGAACAAGAACAAGCAGCTCGTGGTGAGGAGGAACAACAACGTGGACAGCAGCAGCAACAACAACAACAAGCACAACAACACGGACGCCTTGTTGGTAGTGGACGAGGACACGGAGGCATTCTTAGTGCCGGAGGACGCGGACGCGTTAGTGGAGGACATGTTACTGCTGGAAGCGTTGCTGGAGGACGCCTTGCTGCTAGTATTGTAGCAGGAAGCAGATGCGTTGTTCGTAGACGCGCTGGTGCTAGTACTGCAGCAGATGCTGAAGGTGAAGCTTCTGCCTTGGAAGAACTCATCAGACTAATGGATGCTGAAGAAGAGAATGGCAAGGACGAGGATCCTTACTTTGCTGCTGGTGGTGATGATATTGGTGGTGAAGACTTTCTTGCTGATGATGTTCCTGGTGCTAATGATAATGATGGAGATGAGAGTATTAATACCCAAGCAACAACAGCAAGGCCACGTCCTGGGACGGGGCCTCCCCAACCACCATCAGGTGTAAATATTCCAGGGCAGTGGAGATCCTACCACAGAATATTCCTTAATTTCATGGATTTTGTACATGGAAGACAAGATGGAAGAGGTGATAATCCCCCTACTACTGAAGATACAAGATTTGCTAGGGATCATGTGTTCACTGATGGTGAGCTTAGTGACCTCACTCCTGATCATGTTTATAGGTTCATGGCATTGCAGGTGTATAAGAAAGTTGATCCAATTCCCGATGACAACCCAATTCATGCTAGATCTAATTCTATAGAATACACAAAGAAAGCTCTTTCCTATTATCTTCCGAACAAGACAATCAAGTGGACCATTCTGCAAGGCATTGGTCACGGCAATCCAACTCAATCACCTAAAGTGAATAACTTAATTGCTGTAATTAAGCTGAAGGAGATACGAGGCTTGGGGAAGCCAACGCAGAGCGATAGAGCACTGACTGAGAATGAGTTTTTGCGAGCACTTGAGCTTATGGAGCAACAAGGTTCTGAGATTAATACTAGGAGAAGATTTGTAGCAATGATGGCAATGCAAATGCACTTCATGGCTCGTAATGATGATATGGCTCATATAACAAAGAATTCTTTGAAGGCTTGCTCTAGATTYCCTGATTTTTTGACCTTGAAGATGAAGTGGTCAAAAAATGTTAGGGAAGAGAGAGACTGTCCTGATCAGATTTAGATGGGATCAATGAATCCAAAGACATGTGCAGTGCTTCAAACAGCATTATTCTTGGAGAAGTGGTGCCAAGACGGACAAGGAGCAACAAGCCAATGGCTTTTCACTGAAGGTACTTCCAGTTCAAGGTCACACATGAAATTTATGAAGAGGGAAATCGCTCGTGGAAAAGCACAGTATTCTGGATTTTTAACTAAGCATGTATGGAAAAACGGTGCATTTAATAGGGAAAGACCAGGTAGGTTGGGAACACACTCAATTAGGAAGTATACTGTTTCACGTTGCAGACATGGTGGACTGCATAAGGATGATATTAATTATAGAGCTAGGTGGAAAGGAAAACGCATGCAACAAGACCGTTATACTGATATGCAATTACTGTGGCCTGATATTACTGCCCCTGACAAGTTGTGCCATGGTGGGATTTGCCTCTACAAGCCCGTAGATAGATCTGGAATAACAGATGAATGGATCATTGAACATGTTGCACCTTACATAGCAAGTTCATTCAGCAATGAGGTAGCGGCGATTCTTGGAAAGACATTGCTTTGGGCTGCATTTGAACCGTCAATGGTTGGTACTATTCCAGATGATATCTGAAGGAATGTGATGGCATCTTTCATTCAGCTGAACACAAGAGTTAGAGCCAACAATGGTGGTGCTGGTGTTGCAGTTGACGATGGTGCCAATCCTATTTGAAGAGCTGAAATTGTCGCAACTGAACAAGCTGGGCAAATACATTTTGATGAGGTATTTCAACCTGAGGCAGAGGAAGGGGGTGCAGCCGCTGGTGGAAATACTGCAATGGGAATGAGGAGGTCACATCAACAGTGGATGAATGTTATGTATGCAAAGATGAATGATTTACAAATGAGAATGGCCAACATGGAGAACCAACTGGTAAAAGAATTTGCCTTGCAGAAGCAAAGAAACAAGAGGCTCCAAGCTGCTTGTAATCAAGCTGCAATAGCACCAGTAGCAATAAGGAGGGTAAGGCAACGTCTTTTCAATCCTCGTTGCTTCCTTGCTTCGGTTGCTTCGATTTGTTGCTTCTTTGCTTCGGTTGCTTCTTTGCTGCGTTGCTGCGGTTGCTTCCGTTGCTTTGGTTGCTTGGATACAGACACATTGCTTTGATTCGTTGTTTCAATTTGTTGCTTCCATTTGTTGTTTCAATTTGTTGCTTCCATTTGTTGCTTCAATCCATTGCTTTGATTCGTTGCTTCGATTTGTTGCTTTGGTTGTTTCAGTTGCTTCAGTTGCTTCTTTGCTTTGGTTGCTTCAATTCGTTKCTTTGATTTGTTGCTTTGGTTGCTTCTTTGCTGCGCTGCTTCCATTGCTTCCGTTGCTTTGGTTGCTTGGATACAGACGCCTTGCTTTGATTTATTGCTTTGATTCTTTGCTTTGGTTGCTTCTGTTGCTTCGTTGCTTTGGTTGCTTCATTGCTTTGCTTCATTGCTTTGGTTGCTTCATTGATTCATTGCTTTGGTTTGTTTGCTTCGCTTCGTTGCTTTGGTTGCTTTGGTTGCTTTGCTTCGATTCATTTCTTCATTAAAATAGTATGTTAACTGTGACTGCTTCTTCTTGTTAGTAGTATTGTAGTATTGTTAGTAGTAAGTGTGACTGCTTTTGCTGTGTGTTGTCCTCAACAAGAGGAGCAAGTTGAATAGCTGATAAGAAGATGGTGCCACCATTGTCGTGACATGATATTGTCGAGAATTACCTTCACGATTTGTCTTTATTTCACAGAATTTTCCTTGTTGAAAATTGTGTAAGTAATTATTCTCAACTGACACCCATCAGTTGAGGAGGTTTTTGATATTGTGCTGGTCAGTAGGATAATAGCGAAGTGTACATACGTATAAATGTACATGATTCTCTACTGTTGCATTTTTTGTTGCATTTCGTATTAATACCTGCACAGTACTAATTTAATTAGTAAAAGCTACACATTTATAACAAAAAGTAGCAAATACATAGTAGGGGACCACTATGAGGAGAGGACCTACGTGTGTGACCAGTAGTTTAGTAAGAGAGGATGAGGATCTCCTAGTAAGGGTGTTTTGTACTAGTACTAGTACTAGTACTAGTAGTAGCTACTACTACCCCCACATCAGCAAGGATTATCAGCAAGGAGCAATCAGAGCTTATCAGAATGATCAATGAAGATGATGACAGATTCATGGCCTTATCTAACTCATCAGAGAGACTGGAAACATCATCAGCAAGAAGCAGCAGCAAGGACAGTGGCAAGGACAATGGCAAGGACAACAGCAACGACAATGGCAACGACAATGGCAACGACAATGGCAACGACAATGGCAAGGACACATCCACATTTGACAGTCCAAGCAGCAAAGTTTCAACAAGTAGCAATAAGGATATGCCATCTTCCTGCTGCAGCAACAAAGAAGCATCCTCCTCTGGTGCCAACACCACCAGCACAACAACAACACCAGCAACAAGGAAGAGGCCAGCAGCAACAACAAACAGCACAACCAGCAAACAGAAGAAAAAGAAGAAATCAATGACAGGAGGAGCAGGAAGGAAGAAGAAGAGGCAGGATTATTACAGCAGAGGTAAAAGTGAATGCCCCAAAAGCCCCTGGGACATATTATTATACTTTTTTCAAATTCATGGAGTTCAAGGATGGTTGCAAGTATCCTTTTTGATCATGTTTTCAGTGATGAGGAGAAGGCAGCAATTAAACCATAGGATGTTTACAGATATTTCAGCATGAGGCCCTATGGAAAGATTGATCCAGGTAATACTGGTTGTCTATAGTCGTATTGGAAGAAAGCAATACCTCATTTCATGTTAACTCAGTTGACAGGCAATGAGATTACTTTTGAACCATATACTGTTGATTTTGTGCTACCTGATACCAGGCACAGAGTGATTTCAAACATCATTCTTCTTTAGAATACACTTGCTGATGGTGTTAATCCAGTTTCAATTGCTGGCATTGAAGCAAGCGGCGATTCAATTCCATGTTATTTTATGTGTTACATGTTATGTGTTATCTGTGGCTATCCTCAATGAAAGACCAATGTTGGATAGTGAGTAGTATTCCTATTAACACTAATAGCAACACCTCCAGTACCAGTGGTATTGGGCCTGAGGTGCTTGTTATAGTAAGGA